TTTGACAAATGATCATTTCCCAAATTGGACAAAAATGTCCCGACAAACTCTAGTGACAATCCATTGCTATGAGTTATACAAGCTCTAATGTTCTTAAAAGACAATAAGCACTAAGTATAGAGAATGATAATAAGCAATAAGTATAGAGAATGATAAAATGCTTCGTTAGGCTGTATCTCCGGTAACTGGAATGGTAATTACACATTTCTGAATAGGTAAAGGAGATTCATGTACTACTAAAAAAGTGGATGCAAGTTAAACACAAAAGCAGAAATGTTCAATTTACTGCACCCCTGAGCCACAGGTATTGATGCTTTTCTGTCATGGATACATCTCACTTTCTTTTCAGATTTGAACTTAAATGCAGGATCAATTGGGTGCATTAAAGGTAGTGGCCTCATATAGCACAGTCTATGTCTGAGGGAGAAAGAAAAATGGATCTTCTAGTTTATTATTACTGTAGGAAGGGCAGGGATTCACTTGGGAAATTAACAAACAGTATTTCAGGAGACGATACATAAAGGGTCAAGAGCAATGAAATAGAAAACCTTTCAGTTACTGCATCTACATATTTTGCCTGCCCAAGGATGTTAAAAACTCTGTTACATATGCAGCTGTTAGATTCGTTATAAGTATAGGGCCCTACAAATTCATATGCGTGGGCATACCCTTATACTGGGCAGGTCTCCCTTGAAGTGTCACAGCCAAAATATGGAGAAGTATTCCGCTTCTTTTGCCATCAATAATTAATAATCTAAGCAATAATGGAGAGTGATTTTTCAGTATTTTTGAAGTTTGCAAAGCAATTGAAGCAATAACTAATCCTCGGTTTGAAGTATTTTATATAGTACTTTGTTTTCTTTCCTAAAGGTCAGAAACTGATTTATGTAAGTTATGTATTCTATGCTCATATGTAAAATTGTTACTGAAGATTTCAGGCAGAGCAAAAATGCATAATATTGGTTCAGTAAACTTCCAAAAGAAAGGAGTCATCATTTAAAGGAAGAAATATGGTACAATATCAGGCCAGATCAAATTTGAAAGAAGGTTTTTGCAATGAGGTAATATTGGAACTGTCCTGTATCAAGGTTAGAAAAGTGTGTAGGGAAAAAAGTTGAGTATATTCAGAAGGATAGTTTTTTCTAGAGAAGTTCTCTAGAACTGCCTGTGGCCCTATAGCCATACCCCCTCCTACTCATCTCTCAGAGCTAAGTAGGGTTGGTCTGGATTAGAGAGTAGAGGCCACTAAGGTATATGTAGGTGCCACAGGCAGTGTTTCTGCTGATTCCATAGCTGCCTCACTTCTTTGAATCACGCTGACCCAGGAGGGTGTTCCAGGGCACTACATTGCTGAAGTAGTTGTCCACTGGAATGAGACATAAAGCCAAGGGTCTGACCATTTATTGTAAATAATGATCCCATGGTTGTGGGTGGTGATGTCAGGTTGGTGACCTGTACATTCAAAGTAATATAATAATTATGTTGTGATTACACTACTGAGCTTAAATTCTCCTTGTAGAATGACACTGTATTCTGTATTTCTAAACTGTCGTGCAATGTGGCCACGTGGAATTAGAGTTGCTGTGTTTCACACAAGAGATGGGCATGTGTTGTCAATGGATAAAGTGATCCCTGTGCATAATTCATAAATGTTCCTGAGATAAAAGGCACTGCATAAATTTAAAAACATATAGCACTGCTTTCTGTATGGTAAATATTGGAGATAGGCTTAAGTGGTTCAGAAAAGATTGGCTCCTTCTGCCCAGTGCAGGGCCTACAAAAAATAACTTCTTGCATGTCAGTTTAAGTTCAGACACTAGCAGCACAACAGGCATTTGGGTTCTGAGATGATTGTATGGTCCAAATTATCGGTATAGGGTTTAGCCTAAATAGGAGTTGTGGAGTCTCTGAAGTGTCTCTGTTCTGCAAGCTCACCCTTTTGGGTCATTAGTCATAAGTTGCTATGTACACAGCACATATGGAAAAGTAGACGTATCCTAGAGAAAATACCATCAGAAACAAGTTGCACAATTGAAGTTACAATGTAAAAAAAGAATAGATGATAATCCCATTGTTTTCTTGTCATCATGAGTAAGCCTTATTACCTGTGTTATAGTCTCATAGTTATAGCTTAATCTTATATATTTTATAGTCTTGGAGTGTTGTTTATGACTTTCCCATCTTTCCAGTATAGAGCAAATTCAGGAACATTTTTTGTTAACAGAACTTTAATTAGTGCCCTTAAATGTTTTTTTATTGTTGTTTTTTTCTGCATCTAGAGTTGTGTATTTGGTGCAATTTGTTTTTTCATCAGATTTCTAGAATGATGAAATAGAATAATTTTCTCCCGTAGTGCTTTTGTGCATTTTGCATGAAACAGCAGTCTTTTCAGATCTCAAAATACTGATATTTTTTTAAAGGAAATTGAACTTTCATGTCACCATGGAGAGGGAAGGGAGAGCTTTATTTTTGCTTTAAATTTACACACAAAGTTTTGCAACATAGGCAAGTGTTTTTACCTGCACCATAAGGGAACTGTCAACATGATAAAGGTGTCTATATATACTGCTAGAGAAGCAGTTTACAATGCATATATATATATATATATATATATATATCCCTCTGTAAATGGTTTTGTTTGTTCTCTCTCTCTCTCTCTCTCTCTCTCTCTCTCTCTCTCTCTCTCTCTATATATATATATATATATATATATATACACACATAAACATACTGTGACAGACCCAGACCAGTGGGGTACAGGAGTCTGGTAGAGGGCAAATATACTGGTCACTGGATGAGTAGTTTTCTGTTCCCTGAGTGACCAGAGCAGGGGCTGCACTAGAGTAATCCGGAACCTGATAGAACCAGTTACAGCAGGCAGGCTAATTAGAACACCTGGAGCCAATTAAGAAGAAGCTGCTAGAATCAATTAAAGCAGGCTAATCAGGGCACCTGGGTTTTAAAAGGAGCTCACTTCAGTTTGTGGTGGGAGTGTGAGGAGCTGGGAGCAAGAGGCGCAAGGAGCTGAGAGTGAGAGGGTGTGCTGCTGGAGGACTGAGGAGCACAAGCGTTATCAGACACCAGGAGGAAGGTCCTGTGGTGAGAATAAGGAAGGTGTTTGGAGGAGGCCATGGGGAAGTAGCACAGGGAGTTGTAGCTGTCATGCAGCTGTTACAGGAGGCACTATAGACAGCTGCAGTCCACAGGGCCCTGGGCTGGAACCCGGAGTAGAGGGCGGGCCCGGGTTCCCCCCAAACCT